TCTCTAAGCCCATGCCAGACCAGCCCCCCCCCCCTTTCCTTCTAGCAGGGTATAAGTATGGTGGGACATGGCTCTGTGAGGAGAAAAAAAAGAATCTGAATAGCTGCTGTTAGGTGCCACTGTGGGTATGAGCTGCTTAGGGAAAATTGCTAGATGAGTGTTGAGTAAAAAAATGCAGAAAATGCATGTTTCTTAAAGTAGAAAAAAGAAGTCCATCACCTAAGGGACACAAATACTGGGGCAGGCTGGGAGTAGGGGGTTATACAGAGCTGCCCTGTCAGCTTTGATTGATTTGCCTGTGTCCAATAACATAAAGCCAGCTGTACAACCCATTTGTTGAAGAATTAACTCCACCTGTCCTGTGGTGTACTTTCAAAAAAATAAATCATTGACAAATATAGTACTAAACAGAGGTACACTGCCATATTCAGGCTGCCCCGCAGACTGAAGAGGTAGGTTTGTGAACAAACCAAGTCTGCTTGTGATCACTATGAATAGCTGCCATGGTGATCACATAAAAAGAGATTACTCTGGTTCAAGCACGTAAGTTTAGACTGGTGTTGTCGTCAGGGACAGACAACACAGCCTGACAGATGGAACAAAGCACCTTTGTGTGCTTTCCAGCAGTCAAATGCAGAATGTAGAATAAGGTTCCCTCGGCACAGGGTTCTGTGCGTGGGTACCTTATTCTAAAAAGGATGATAACCAATAATGAGAATCGCTGTCAACAATTCTCATTATCAATTAGTTGATTTTTCGATTAGTTGTCACATGGGCTGTGAACCCAGCACCCAGCTCCAAACCTCACTCAACACCCCCCAGCCAATGCCACCGCATGCTGCAGTCTGGGGCAGTGGGGATGAAACATACACCGGCTGTGACCAATAGCCATTCTGCTATTGGCTATTTTAAATTGCAGTAGCCAACAGCAGGCTGGCAATTGCACCCACCTACTGCCTGCTGTCAGTCAGCAGAGGAGGACCTGAAGGAGAACATTCTCCTTCAGTTCCCTCCTCTGCTAAATAACAGCGGGTAATGGGTGGGTGCAATAGCCAGACTACGAATAGCAATTACAATCTGAAAATTGCCAATAGCAGGCTAGCTACTGCTCCCAACCACTGCCTGCTGTGTTTACATTCAACAGGCAGCTAAAATTCCCCAGCTAAAACTGAACTAGAAAAGGTGATACTGAGGGTCTAATAGACCCCTAATGTAACCATAAAGAGAACCTGCCACCTCCAATGTGCTATCACATAGGGGGCTTGTGAGTTCTCCTATGTGATAGCAATTAGGGATGTCCCGATACCGATACTAGGAGCGGTATCGGGCCCGATACAGGGCATTTTCAGGAGTACCTGTACTCCTGAAAATGCCCCGATGCATAGAGCAGATACCGGCCCTTTACAACAATGAATAAAAAAAAAAAGAACTTTAACAAAATAAAAGTTAAATAAAATGAAAAATAGCAAAACATTTTTTACAAATGTAAATCCCTGCGACCCCAGGTAAACCTACGTATGAAAAACAATGATTGTGCTACACGTCCGGTATCAAAATGTAGTAGATACCATTGCACTCCTGACCGGATAAAGCCCAAACGAATTTGTGTGGAACGTCGTCTGAATAGCACAACATACCAAAGTATCGTTGCTGATCAAGTTCATGCTATCATGTTGATGGCGTGTCCCAATGGAGATGGCTTCTTCCAACAAGACAATGCGCCATGCCACGGTGCTCGTATTGTGCAGGGGTGGTTTCAAGAACATAAGGGAGACTTTACCTAGCTTAGGTGGCCCCCACAATCACCAGATCTCAATCCAATTGAGCATTTGTGGGACGAAGTTTAAAAAGCCATCAGTCAGCTGGTTCCACAACCATCAAATCTCACAGAACTGGACAGTGCTATTCATCAGGCATGGTGTCAGATTCCTCGCATCACCTTTCAACATCTAATAAAAGATGGGGAAATGTTTTTTTTTTCCAGATTAATAGAAAAAAATAAAAATCAGCCATCTAAAAATCGATTATGAAAATAATAGTTGCAGCCCTAAACAAATTAACTTACAAAAAGGTATACTGCATATGGAGTTTCACAGTACTTTATGCTTAATTTAAGGTTGAGTCAGGTCATTAGCCATTTTATTTTCTACAGATTATTCCAGAGCAGAAAACATGACAGTGCTAGGAAATATGGCTATTAATCTTGCCTTTCTGTATATCATGTTTCAGTTGTTTCAAAAATTATAACAAAATATTGTGAAAACATCAAACATCAAGGAGAGATAGCCAGCTGAATCAACTTCTTTCTTTCAGAAAATAAAAAAGCATAATGAAGAAAAGGGAAGTGAAAAATAACCACAATTACCTAAAGGTAAACTCAAATGCTGGCTTTGATTCTCTTTGGTTTCTTTATTCTGTACATATCTGAAATTAAAAACTGTGGAATGACAAAAGACTTACCACCAATCGAACAACGGCGAGCAATTTCCCAAAAAACTAATCCCATTGCATATATATCAGCACGTTTGAAGGACTCAAAATGCTTCATATTTATCGAATCATCTAGCACCTCTGGAGCCATATATCTGAAATACAGAAAGAAACAGGCAATGAAAACCTCCAATCCTATGGAGTAACTGAATTAAACTTAAAATGCACACTAGCAGCTTGACCAGCCTTCCTGGAACCAGTCTCACCCCTTTGGGGTGCTATTTCGTGAGACTGGTTGTAAAAGGCTAGATAAACATTCTCAAGATTTGAACTAATTTTCCCCCAAATAGTGAGATATAGGAGCTAGGTCATAATTGATAAAAACGAAAAAATCCAAATGAAAATTTGTATTTTTTTCGGTTTGACAGCTAAACAGAATTTTTTATTTTTTTAAATTAACAAAGTACATAAAATCATTAAGAGTCTTAACATCAATTTCTTATTGCAATGTTAAGCCATGCTACAATTACATCTTAGCATGTACCTTTTAGTTCCAACTCTGTGATTTGGTGCAATGTCAATTGTATCTGTAGCAGAGTCATGTCGGACAGCTAAACCCAGATCCGCTATGCAGCAAGTTCCATTTTTCTTTACCAAAATATTTTTGGATTTCAGATCTCTGTGGGCTATAGCTGGCTTTCCTTTAAGATAAAAAAAAAAGAATCACATAAATTAGTAAGATGCCATATCCTATATATTATTAAACGGATTGCAGTTAGTGACATTTTTTATTTCCTTCCTGTGAATTCTGCCAATGTTTTCTGTAAGCGCTCAGTGCCCGAGTGCTCTGAATAACCAGCCTGATCAACGGCCAGACCAGAGATTATATGCATTTCTTTTAAGGATTCTATCACCAGGAATGAACATGCATCTTCTGAAGTTTGGCACTCCCCCCTACCATCCATGCTATGCTCTCCAGCAGCTCTGCATCCAACGTTCACCCTACGTTGTCCAGAAACTCTGCTCTCATATGCCATGTGCTACAGTGTCTGGAGGCTCTGCTCCTACTATTCACACACTGTTTTCAGGAATCTCTGGTCCCACCCCCCACAGCAGCTCCCCTCCCCTGCACCGCACCTATTCACCCGGAACTCTACTACAATCCCCTCTCAAAAAAATTACAATCTGCTGCATTTAGCACAACAAAATTAGGTTGAACTTGATGGACTTGTGACTTTTCAACCTACATAACAATCTCTGACCTCCTGTTCTTTTGTACAATAACTTTACATAAGTATATGTTATCTGGCATTCAGCATTCACCACAGTGCTCATATTTTCATGTAATGTTGTCCCCAAATACAGTCACCACCATCTCCTGGCTGCCATAGTCAGGGCCGGAATGGCCATCTGGCATACCGGGCACTTGCCCGGTGGGCAGGGCCGGGAGCAATCATCCTGATGGCGTTCGGCCCGGCCCGCTATGCCTGATGGCCTGCTCTGTGCGCTCTTAACACTGGAGCAGCCAGGTAGAGCCGACAGAATGGAGTTGCCCCGCCCCCATCACCTGCGGACCCAGTGTCCGCTCTCTCACACAGCTGTTTCCGGCCAGCTCGGATCACTTTCGTATGACCGAGGCGATCCGGGCTGTTCGGATCAGGCAGAGGAGGTATCTTAGAGGGCTGCTCGCTGAGGCACCTCGGGGGCCCTCGTGAGGAGTAGGAAGGGCCCGAGAGAGGAGAGCTGCATCTACTGAGCCTGCAGACCCCAGCAAGACACCGATCCCAGGCGAGAGCCCCACTGTTTACAGAGACACACTGACCCCCCCAGAGGCCGCACTGAACCCCACCATTGCACAGTCCTCCCGAGACCCTGGAGACATCAGGCCGCAAAACCTGGAGCAACAGAGAGTATGTAGCTTTATATTATTCTGTATTGTTGTATAATTTATTGCTGGGATTTTTAGTCCTCTTCAGTTGGCGATGGTATTCAGCATTGATGGTTTGCTGTAAAGGGTATTGCTGGGATTGCAGCATTTTACATTTTTAAACTGAAGCGGCTGTATGAGGTCGTTGGGGACCTTGGCAGCTTTGCTGTGAACCATGCGGCGCCTATTTACAGCATCGGCCGCACATCTCATTCTCCTTCTTGAGGAACCACTCAGCCCGCACAGCCTTCTTAGACTCAGCACAGCCACCCTGAGACCCTGCACAGCCTCTTGGCAGTTCTGTAAGCAACACCTTATTTTCTGGAAGTGCCCCTCCCGAGACTAAACTCTGGATCCACCCCTGATCAGCCCAGAATCCAGGAGGACTGTGCAGGACACCGCGCTGTGCTGGAGAGAAATCACAGAACACCGGACTCTAGCAGTAAGTGAGCTAAAAAGGGGGAGGGGACGGGGAAGCACTACCAGGCACGTAGGATGGATACACAGGTGAGACACCAGAGGAATTCAGGGATCAAAATGAGGACAACACGCTACGGTGACCCCCAGAGCTTGCACTGACCCCATGGGGCCAGAATGAGGGGACACATGGACAAGACTGAGGACACATGAGACAGAATTAGGGGACACATGGACCAGACTAAGGGGGACACAGAGTCCCCTATAATTAGGCTGCTGTCTTAGGGGCCCGCCCCTCGATTGTGCTATGTTTGGCCCCGCCTCAGATTGTGATGGGTTAGGGCCTGTCGGGGGTCATGTGATTGGGCTGCTCAGTCCAAAATGCCCGGGCCTATTTTTTGTCCCAGTCTGGCCCTGGCCATAGTAGAGACACACTCCATCTACTGCAAGCTTCCACTCTTTCTAAATCACCTGTCCTTGACCAGTCCACAGTCTGTCTCCTCTTTCTCTCCCCTTCTCCCACTCACAGCTTGCCTCTTGCCTCCTCTTTCCCCCTTCACCCCCCTCCCAACCATAAACATCTTTGTCTCCTCTCACTGGAATTTAATCGGCTCACACACTGCCACCTCTTTCCTTTTTGTTCATCCCAAAAGTTTCATGGTTGCATTCTTCAAGTTCCCCTGAGCCACAACTAATTGACATCCACTCATCCATGGTCTGCCTTCTCTTTCATAGTCCATGATCATCTCCCATTCTTACACTTGGCCTATCCCATAAATCCATTCTAGTGAGATGGCACATTTGACTAAATATTTGCCCAGTTTAAGTATTGTCTGACAGTACCAGTGGGTATCAGGAAGCCGGGCGGAGACGTAATGACCTGATTGACTGAGAAGCCAGCTCGATGCTGATTGGCCGGGAAGCTGGCTCTCCAGCCAAAAAGCCAGGAGCCGGCTTCCCGGCCAATCAAGAAACCAGGAGGTCATTACTCGCCGCCCGGCTTCTTGATTGCACGGGAAGCTGGCTCCATGTTTCCCTACGCCACTGCCGGTCAGAGGAAGTTCCGGTATCGGAGCATTTGGGGGAGTATAAGTACTGCCCCAAATACTCGGTATCTGCACCGATAACAATACTACCCGTAGTATCGGTGCATCCCTAAGCAAAACTGTATTTGACTGTGCTAAATAGCGCTTATCACTTGTCAGCTCAGTCACCTGATCTCGCCGGGCAATGAGTGCTTGCAATTTGCAAGCGAAATTCGTAAGGCAGGACTGCGCTCTACAGCAGTACAGAGTATAGATAATACATCCATACTGGCGGAGAGGAAGAACTGTTCGCCGAAAGGCGAGTATAGCGGGGAGGTTGGGAGAGACAAGGCCAGATTTCATCAGGTAATTCCATTTTCCCATATTACCTGGGAAAGTGAACTTACCCTTTAATGCACCGTGTGTGTGTAAAAGAGTTCTGCTGGCTGGCTACCACAATATGGCACACAGTGGAAAGGTCGGCAGCACTCAAACGCACACAATGTCCTACGCGTGCGTTTATTTGCATGCAGATGGTGGGGGCAGCGGTTGGTTTTATTCTTTTTTACTTTATCACTTATTTTTTAAATTTGTATATATATTTTATTTTTTACTTTTTTTATTTTACAAGCCCCATGTGATAATTTGGAGGCGACAGGTTCTCTTTATGGAACCTGCCCTCCAACACAGAACAGATATTCTGTGCAGTTCCTGACAGGTGGCGCTGCGATTACAGCAGTATGATGGAAAAGGCTTGTTGCGCGCCTTACTGGAAAGTCCCGTAATCAGGTAAGGGTGCTCGGAATGACTGCGGATGGAGCCGCAAATTGCACACAATATGAGAAATGTCATCAGCACACTGAGTCGCTTGAAGGAATCAATCATGTGTTTATTGGAAACTCATGTCAAAAACACAAGCGCTTTCGAGGCCGCCCAGGGTCTCTTCATCAGGCATAGCAATGTCGTCATCGCTATGCCTGATGAAGGGACCCTCTTCGGCCCCAAAAGCGCATGTGTTTTTGACGAGTTTTAAATAAACCTGCTGAATTTGCTGTGATTACAGCGCCACGGTCTCACTGATCACAAAGAGCAGACGAAGAATGGATGTTCTTCCCTCTGCTCTACACTCTATTCTGAGCCGTTGTGCCGTGGTCCCGAGTCCACCAGAAGAGCAGGGGACCACGAAAACCACGGCGGGGGTGAACAAGATTGCCGCTGCTCGTTTCATACAAGTGATCTAATGAAGCTGAAGCTAAATGTACAAAAAAACTACTCGCTTGGCGCCCAAAACTGCATGTTCCGGGCTTTGGCCGATAGGAATTCCACACCCGTGTATATAAAGCGTTGGAATTCATTATATCTATACTAGTTCCAGGACAGTTACCTCAGAAAGAATTAAAGCCAATACATGAGCATGCCAAACAAGCATTTTCAAAGGGAATGATCAGCCAGGGCAGTCTCCGTAATTTTCTCCTGACCAGGAAAGCCAAACGTTTCTTTTAGCCTTGAAAAGAGTGGGTAAAAGTTAAAACCCCTATTGGGCTATGCTGTGTGTCTTGTTGGGGAAACTTGCCTTTACTTCCTGTGCTGCATATGTAACAGGAAATCTCTCCAAAACAAGCAGAATTCCTATTTCATAGAGTTGTCATGGGAACAGGTGACCCTATTGGATAATTTCCCCCTCATCTCTTGCTCTGGTGACCACTCAAAAAAAAAAAAAAAAGAAGTGGACCGGAAATCAAACATTTTAATCTTTGTGACAATAATTCCCAGGACACGTAGAAGGATGCATTTACCACACAAACTGCAATACAAACCACACAAAGCAGAAAAACAGCAATACCAACCTGATAGTGGGCCTTCTTACTTCTCTACCCACACCTTAAATAATAAAATGCCTCTACCTACACTTTAAAATCATTCGCTCAGTCATAAATGAAATAATAGCCAGCCTCTGGTATCCTAACAATAGAAAGAAGGATTGACTGTATGTTGTAATTAGAACCCAAACTAAACCAACCTATAATATTCTAACAAAATCAGAGAATGTTTGCAGTGGCCAACATGGGTAATCCTTTCAAACACCTTCAATGTAAGGCACATTTCTTGGTAGCATTTATTATCCAGTAAAAATTAAAAATTTGATTTCTATTTATTGTAATATCACTTTTCATTGAAAAATACAGCATTTCTTATACATATATCATGGGTTATACTGCTGCCTACAGTAGGCCTGGACGCAAGGCACAAACAAACTCAAGGCAAGCCCTTAGGAGCTATAACCCCTCCCTTAAGCAGTCTGCAAAGCAGCATTATTATGTAACAGTTACTA